CTTAATGTGCTTCTTCTTGAGCCACTCCTTTGTTGCCTTGGCCGTGTGTTTTGGGTCATTGTCATGCTGGAATACCCATCCACGACCCATTTTCAATGCCCTGGCTGAGGGAAGGAGGTTCTCACCCAAGATTTGACGGTCCATGGCCCCGTCCATCGTCCCTTTGATGCGGTGAAGTTGTCCTGTCCCCTTAGCAGAAAAAACACCCCCAAAGCATAATGTTTCCTCCATATTTGACGGTGGGGATGGTGTTCTTGTGGTCATAGGCAGCATTCCTCCTCCAAACATGGCAAGTTGAGTTGATGCCAAAGAGCTCCATTTTGGTCTCATCTGACCACAACACTTTCACCCAGTTGTCCTCTGAATCATTCAGATGTTCATTGGAAAACTTCAGACGGGCATGTATATGTGCCTTCTTGAGCAGAGGGACCTTGCGGGCGCTGCAAGATTGCAGTCCTTCACGGCGTAGTGTGTTACCAATTGTTTTCTTGGTGACTATGGTCCCAGCTGCCTTGAGATCATTGACAAGATCCTCCCGTGTAGTTTTGGGCTGATTCCTCACCGTTCTCATGATCATTGCAACTCCACGAGGTGAGATCTTGCATGGAGCCTCAGGCCGAAGGAGATTGACAGTTCGTTTGTGTTTCTTCCATTTGCGAATAATCGCACCAACTATTGTCACCTTCTCACCAAGCTGCTTGGCAATGGTCTTGTAGCCCATTCCAGCCTTGTGTAGGTCTACAATCTTGTCCCTGACATCCTTGGAGAGCTCTTTCGTCTTGGCCATGGTGGAGAGTTTGGAATCTTATTGATTGATTGCTTTTGTGGACAGGTGTCTTTTATACAGGTAACACGCTGAGGTTAGGAGCACTCCCTTTAAGAGTGTGCTCCTAATCTCAAGACACTTGGGAGCCAGAAATCTTTCTGATTGAGAGGGGGTCAAATACTTATTTCCCTCATTAAAATGCAAATCAATTTATAACATTTTTGACATGCGTTTTTCTGGATTTTTGTTGTTATTCTGTGTCTCACTGTTCAAATAAACCTACCATTAAAATTATAGACTGATCATTTCTTTGTCAGTGGGCAAACGTACAAAATCAGCAGGGGATCATATACTTTTTTCCCTCACTGTAGTTTTTGCCGGGCCCACGCACCATCATGAAGGTCCTTAATGATCATGAGCAGAGGGCCAAGGACTCCGAAAGCACGAAGACGGACAGAAAATATGGCATCTGTGCAGGACCGCCCTTTCCTGAAACCGCATTGGGGCTCTGCAAGGCTCTCCTCAGCGTGCCTGGCAAGGCGATGTTTAATAATCCTTGCCAGGACCTTTCCTGGCGTACTGAGGAGTGAGATGCCCCTGTAGTTGTTACAGTCTGTGCGGTCCCCCTTCTTAAAGAGGGGGACCACCAAGATATCCTTCCAATCCTGCCGGAACCCGTCCAGTGGTCCAGACTGTTGTTATGATGTCATATAGGGCAGTCTGTACACAAACGCCACCCTCCCTCAGCATTTCGCTTGGGAGATCATCTCTGCCCGGTTACTTTCCTGGTCTCAGACTGGATCGCCTTCAGTACTTTCTCAGTAGATGGCACCTCAGCCAGCCACTCACAGGGGGTGACTTCTTCCAATATTTGAGGCACCGCAGCCTCAGCAGGGTCATCCCCACTTTGTCCCATTATGTTTTCAAGGCTGAGGGAATCCCCCTCCCCCAAGACCTCACAGAAATTCTCAGCAAATCTGCAAACCTGTTTCTGGGGGTCGAAGATTGGATCACCGTTCTTTTTCCTAATGATGGTAATAGGTGTGGCGCTGCAGGTTACTTTTTTTTATAGAGTTAAATAGCGATTTGTGATCGCGGGCCATTGAGACAGACTCCATCTCTTCAGCAACCCGCCACCACCACCCATCCTTGCAGCGCCTCACGGCTGTCCGAACCTCCGAGCTAAGGCTGCAATAAACCGCCTCATTCTCAGACGTGGGATGCTGTAGACGATGAGAGTGGGCCTGTCGCTTTTTCTCAGCCAACCTGAACTCCTCTGTCAGCCAGCGTCTCTGGGGAGGTCTGGACCGTGTACCCAAAGCAGCCATTGCAGCTGCATGAGCCACAGTCCTAAACCTCGCCCATTTCCCCTCGACATCAGGAGGAGTGGGGGACGATGCCAACCCAAACCGCAAGCGATGATGAAATTCTCGCTTGCAACTTTCATCAGCTAGTTGAGACCAGGCCACTTTTGGCTTGAATTGGGTCCTGGGTGTACACATACCACCGGAGTGGAAGAATGGCAGGCGGATCTTACAGATGACAAGTCGATGGTTAGTGAGCAGATCAGCTCCACGGTAGGTCCTGGTGTCAAGGACATCCGCTGTTCCGTCACTATGTAGTCCAGCAGATGTTCTTGCTTGGACCCGGCATGCATCCATGATGTTGTGTGGATGCGCTGATGCCGGAATAGCGTGTTGGTAATGACAAGCCCATGGGCTGCACAAAAATCTAGCAGCCTCCTACCGTTATTGAGCTGATCTGGCCCATGCCTTCCAATCACTCCAGACCAGGTGCCAGCATCATGACCAACTCGGGCATTGAAGTCGCCCAACAAGATGACTCTATCCCGAGGAGCCACTTTCGCTAGCACCTGTGACAGGAGGTCATAGAAGGCATCTGACTCATCGGCCTTGCCTGCATCCCTCCACGGATGTTCGTCTTCGGTGGGGGCATAAGTAATCACGACCACAACTCCTCACCTCCGGTTGATGATAAGGCGATCCCAAAGTAACGTGGGGCTTACCACTTCCCACACCTCGCCGCCATGCTCCCACGCCCCCTTCATTCTTTTGTTCAAAAGAAGAGACACTCCCTGTTGTTTGGCAGTCTCCTGCCCCGAGTAGAGGACTGTCCACCCCTCATAGTGGCAGGAGCCAGAGCCGGTCAACCGGACCTCCTGAATACCACTGAGATCGATGCGGTATCGGTCTAGCTCCGGACAGAGGAGTGGCAGCCTCTCCTCCGCAGTGAGCATTCTAACATTCCACGTGGCCACCCGCAGTGTTTTTTGTTGTTGTTTCTGGAGGAGCCTCGAAGGTAAGGATTCAGTCTCCAGGCTCCGCCAAATGTGGTTTGGCCAGGAGACGTCATAGACGCCTGTCCCTCCGGGGCCTCCGGCACAAGCTTAATGAGATATGTTAGACGTGGTTTTGTGGTAATTAATTGAAAGTGGAGGGGTTACCAACCCCTCGCAACCATCCAGAGCCCCCATTTGGCCGCTGTGGTGGTTACAAACGCCATGAGAGGAATGGCTAATTTAACTTGGCCCTCCCCCCCACATGGCACTGCTCACCACAGCGTTGCCATCCGGCACCAACGAGGAGGTAGGGGGTTGTTTTTGCCGGACAAGCAGCACCTATGAAGACCGGCACGGCACATGAGGGGGTGGGTGGCCAGCCCACCACGCCCGGCCGCCTTTGTCTCTCTCGCGGTGACGTTTTGTACACCGCACCAGGTGCTCATTAGAGGCCGAGTCGACCTCGAGGAGGCCCAGGACCGGTTCATAAAATCGTCACTTGAGTGTTGCCACTCGCACGAACGATCACCACGACGTTTGTCACGATCACGGAACCCTCGTTCGCTCACTCCATTGCCCACTGTCGCTGACACACACACACAAAGACAAAGATACTCCGCATAGCACGTCTATACTGCTGGAGCAAGTGCTGTTAGCGAGCACCTACACACACGTACACACACGTGTCAACCCTCTCACGTAATAATGACTCGCACACTCATCCTCACACGTGATCACCCACTCAATAAATGCTACACGTACAGCCGCTTGCGCTGTTACAACAACAGCGATTGTGCCAGGCTAGGTACACCTTGTGGCCACGTGAAGTGTCGAAAGCTCGCTGCTGGCAGGAGGTCACGGGACGGACCCCAGGTGCCATGAATTCTTTGAATGAAATGCGCCGGCTGTGCTCCCTACTTGGCCACCTCGCTGCTGTTTTATCCGCCCGGCACGCCGCTCGTTGTTGTGAGCGTCGCCCCTCTTGCTCTCCGCTGCTGCCGGTGTGTCGACTGCCGCCCAACTGCCCCGTAGCGTCCTTCACGAGCCTCTTCCACGTTTCGCTGCTGCACGCACCCACATTCCCGCGCGCGTTCCTTTTCATTCGTTGGCACTTCTCTCGCACACTCACTGACTCACCCCCTCGCCGGCTTACACTGCCTCTCGCACTCGCTCACCCACGCGTGGTCACGCGCATCAGCCCCGTGCGCCTCCCAGCGCCGACGCTGACAACGTCGCGCTCCGCGCTCATTTAAGGCGGAGTCGACCTAGGCGAGGCCCGGCACGGTTTTCATGACACCGCTCGCAAAAAAAAAAGCATCCCTCTGCTGCCTGCAGCACGAGATGTTGATGCAAGCTCACACCGTTACCTTCTCCACCTCGTCTCTCTGCTCCTCACCTCTTCTCACCACATCACCTCTCCTCCCACCCCATCTCTCCTCATCATATCTCCTCCCCCCCCCCCCCCCAAAGACAAAAATCCCCCGTATAGCCTTACCGTACTTAATGGGGCAAGTGCGGTTAGCAAATAGCACCTATGAAGGCCGGCACGGCAAACGAGGGGGGTGGGTGGCCTGCACCCTACCCGGCCGCCTTTGTCTCCCTCGATGTGATGTTTACACAGCACCTGGTACTCATTTGAGGCTGAGTCTACCTAGGGGAGGCCCCAGGACCAAGTAAGATAGCCGTAACCGACTTGGCCCGAGGGGAGGAAACTCAGGGCTCGTTTCAAATATCCGCCACTGTTATTCAGCGTTAGCAGGATTCGAACCCCGGCGGTGGCCAGGTGGTTCGTGGCGCGGTGCGCTAACCACACGCGCCACCGCTCCTCCGCCACACCTCCCTCATTCGTTCTCCCTCCCCAGCCCCCACCCTCATCCCGAGCTCATCCCTCACACCCCCCCCCCCACCACTCACCTCGCTTCGTCTCCCCTGGAGACGGAGCCAAAAAAGCGAAGCGAGCGTCACCTCCTCGGGTCTGACGTCAATGAGGGGACGACTATAAGAGGGACGGGAGATTCGCTCTCTCTTCACTGAAGCTCTCCCGTGCTCTCTCACTCGCTCTTCACACACCACACACACACACACAGATGCGTGTGTGTGTGTGCATATAGCGTGACACATTGCTCTCTCGGGCTTGACTTGTCGGGAGCGGCGCGATCGTGCGGGTGAAGAAACGCCAGCTTGTGCGCAGGGACGGACGGCGCCTTCAATAGGGAAGGGGGCCTCTTTGAGGTCGCTGTCCCTGGTGCTGAAGCAACACGGGCGAAAGGTACAGGGCGATGTTTGTTGTTGTGTGTTTGAGGCTCCTCGTCCTAAGCACTGTGTGCGATGTGTGCTGCAACAGCCAGCCGCTGGCCATCATGATGGATAATATAATTAAAGTGTTGTGTGCTTGTAAACTGTTTTTCGCTGATATCCAAGGCTGTGTTAGGTGGCGAGTGGGTGCCGTGTGGATGGATTTTACTTGCGTATGTTTACTGTGTCCATGTTTGTCGCTATGTATACCTTCGTCTGTGACTGTGTGTTTGTCTTTGTGCGTGGGGAGCGGTGGTGTAGCGGTTAGCGCGCTGCGCTATGAACCTGGCGACCCAGGTTCGATTCCCGCTCACGGCCAACACCAGTGACGATTATCTGAACCGGTCCTGGGCCTCCCCTAGGTCGACTCAACCTCAAATGAGTACCTGGTGCGGTGGATAAAAACATTGCCACTGGGGAGACTAAGGCGGTCGGGCGCGGTGCTGGCCACCCACCCCCTCGTGTACCGTTCCGGCCTTCATAGGTGCTCGCTAACAGCACTTGCCCCTACAGTCTGTTAAGGCTATACGGGGGATCTTTGTTTTTGTGCGTGCTCCTCTCTTCTTTGTGCATGTATGTTGTGCGTGTGTCTATAGCACTGTCTCTAGGGAGACAAAGGTGGCCGGATGTGGTGCTGGCCACCCACCCTCTCGTGTACCGCGCCGGCCTTCCTAGGTTTATTGTGTAGCGGTAGTGTAGTGGTTAGCGCACTGCGTCTCCGAACCAGTTGGACCCGAGTTCGATTCCCGCTCGCGGCCAATATCGGTTGACGAATATCCGAACCGGTCCTGGGCCTCCCATAGATCGATTCAGTCATAAGCGTGCATCTGCTGCGCTGTGTAAACATCGGCGCTGGGGAGATAACGGCGGACGGGCGAGATCCTGACTATACAAGCCACTCGGGTGCCGAGCTTAACATGAATAGCTCCTTCAATCATAAAGGTATCCCGTTAATAATGCTGCTGCCTCTGTGTGTCTCAGCGGTCTGTTTTATCAAAGTAACTCGATATTTAGCAGGCTTTACCACAACAAGCTGCATGTTGTCGTCAATTCCACTGCACGTATCAGCGCTGCACGGCAACGCTGTATGTTAATCCAGCATTGTCACACGGACATACCATTTTAATCTTAAATGCACGGAACACATTTTCCTACCGTCATATGTATCAACGGGTATTATAAAAACAACAATTATAACATTTAAAGAGAGCCAATACGCTTGCCTTCCTACACTTTGATAAATAAGACATCAGCGTTCATATTTTTCACAGGAATTGCATGCAACTGGTGTGCGCGTAGCACGATTGCTGAATACGAAATAGGTAGGTGAACTATGAAGTCATTTTTGCTCGTGCCGTGTGGTTTAACTTTGTGTATAAATTCGTCCAAATTTTCATATTGGAAGGGCCATTGCCGAGAAACGTCTTTTACCTTTAATAAAAATGAATAAATAAATATTGTCTTTTATCATTTTCCAGATAAAGCCCATTGCGCTATATACGGCTCTTGTTCAGAAGCGATCTGGCCACAAATGATATCGCTCAAAGAAGTGGCTTGTCACGTGTAAAACTATCGCAGACAAATAATATAATATTTTAAGGCCACAGTGATATTTACCAGTGCGTTGTTTGGCTTTGTTACAGGGGCTTAGTTCAGAATCATTCTGAACCATTATTACATAAGGGTTTCTTTTTTTAATCTGTGGGTTAAAAAATATAAATTCTAACAATTGTTGAGAACATTTGTATCAGTGGGATATAATTAGCCGCCATCTCTGTACACCTTAGAGACTTGTGTGTGGGGGGGGGGGGGGGGGGGGAGCGGTGGCGCAGTGGTTAGCGCGCTGCGCTATCATCACTAGGAAGACAAAGGCGGCCGGATGCGTGTGTGTGTGTGCTCGTCATACGACCCCCGTCGTGTGCTGAGCCGGCCTTCATAGGTGCTCGCTAACAGCACGCACTTGCCCCAGTAGTCTGTCAAAGGCTATACGGGGGATCTCTGTCAATGTGTGTGCGTGCGCTTGGCTATATCCATGTGCTCGTGTGCGTTCTTACTCTTTGTGCCTGCACACGCCTATACGTGTCACACCTATCAACGTGTATGTGCATCGTTCGCACGAGTGTGTGTGCGTGGGCGTGTTTAATATGCGCTCGCAAACAGCGCTTGCCCCCTAATCTATATTGCAACACGGAGGATCGCATGTGTGTGCGCGTGAAACACAGGCGGTCGGGTATTGTTCTGGACACGAACCCCTCTCGTATAATAATAATAATAATGCAAGTCTCCATAACCCAAAAATATGTGCTTGCAGACAGGAATTTTCCACAACAGCCCGTTTATAGCGATGTTCGAGACACACACACAAAATAATAAAACACCCGGTGATGTCTAAAGAGAGTGGGGCGCATTTCCCTTATTAGGAGAGGCTATAAATATCTCAGCATTTGCGTCACGTTGACGTCATTACTGCAATCTCCCAGCAGAGAGGCCATATGAGTTGGATTCCAGGTCATTCATTCATGAAAATATATCATGTGTACCCATTGATAAAAAAAAGTCGAGTTCAATTAATTCATTGATATATTTCTGGGCTCGACTCGGTCATTCATACGATGCTATCGAATTCGTGTCGACTAATTAATGGATAATAATGCATTTAATTAAAAATATGATTCATTCAAAGCAGAATGTTAGTGATTGATTCGATGAATAAAATATTCATTTTTGATGAATATTAATTTTTTATAATGGATTAGAAACACAAATTGATAGGGATCTGAAATAATTTCGGTCATATTGGTATGTAATTTAGACCAGTATAAAAAAAATCTCTGACGCAGTCCGCAAGATATTCCGTTAATTAATTAGCACTAAACAATTAATTACATATTCTACATCTATAAATCATTCATTTACTGAAACAGTCGACTAATTGTTTTGAAAACGCGCCGTGACGTCAACTCCTCCACAAGTAATTGATTGAAATATAATCAATATAAAATTATTTAATCTGCTAAATTAATACATTATTCACGCATTGATAATCACGACGATGAACCGAAGCTTTCAATTGAGCAGGGGATATTCAGTGGATGCTGCTGCTGCTGATTCATGGATAATGTAACTTAGCCTTCGACACACGGCGATCCATTTAGAGATACCCTACTCATTTCCCATGTACTCCGACTCGTTCTTGTTAACCTCACCTGACGTGATAATTGGAGGTTGTACGCAAAGCACGAAACGTGTCCGGGCGAAGGGTTAACAGATGCGCAACGAGTCCATTGAGATTGGTGGTGTTAATTTCTCTTGAGGATGTATACCAATCACCTTAGTGGGGTATCTATATATGGACCACCCTGTGTGTGGTTCAATACGTGGGGGGCGGTGGGTGTAGTGGTTAGCGTTACGCTGCGCTACGAACCCGGCGTCTCGAGTTCGATTTCCGCTCACGGCCAACACCAGTGACGATTTTCTGAACCGGCCCTGGGCATCCCCTAGGTCGACTCAGCATAAAATGAGTACCTGGTGCTGTGTGTAAACATCGCCACTGGGGAGACAAAGGCGACCGGGGATGGTGTTACCCACCCACTCGTGTGCCGTGCCGGCCTTCGTAGGTGCTCGCTAACAGCGCTTGTCCCAACAGTCTGTTGCAGGCTACACGGGGGATCTTTGTCTTTGTATAATAAATTGGTTAACCTCGGCCCGTGCCGGTTCCCTCCGCGTTGTGAATTATCGTAATCATTTCCAATTCACGAATCGATTATTGTCAGCATAATGATTCACTGGCACCTATAGCGGCGCCACGGTGGCGAGATGCTAACTAAATAATTCAAATGAGACGAAACAATCAAGACGCACATTACAATACAAACTAGAGAAACAATACAAACTAGAGAAACAATGCAAACGAGACAATACAAACGAGACAAACAATACAAACGAGACAGACAATGCAAACGAAACAGACAATACAAACGAGACAATACAAACGAAACAATACAAACGAGACAAACAATACAAACGAGACAGACAATGCAAACGAGACAAACTACAAACGAGACAGACAATACAAACGAGATAAACAATACAAACGAGAAAGACAATGCAAACGAGACAGACAATACAAACGAGACAAACAATACAAACGAGACAAACCATACAAAAATACAAACGAGACAGACAATACAAACGAGACAAACAATACAAACGAGACGGAACAATACAAACCATACAAACAATACAAACGAGACAGACAATACAAACGAGACAAAATACAAACGAGACGGAACAATACAAACGAGACAAACAATACAAACGAGACAGACAATGCAAACGAGACAAACAATACAAACAATAAAAACAATACAAACGAGGCAGACAATACAAACGAGACAGACAATACAAACGAGACAGACAATACAAACGAGACAAACTACAAACGAGACGGAACAATACAAACGAGACAAACAATACAAACGAGACAAACAATACAAACGAGACAACCAATACAAACGAGACAATACAAACGAGACAGACAATACAACAGAAGACAATAGAAGAGGGAAAAGTGTATTCACCAATTGAACAAAAACCTGAATCGACTGCCAATCATTATTTTCCAAGTTCATAGATCATTCCTTTCGGGGGTCGGTAAAACTGGTACAACTTTGTGAAGCATCAACAAGTAAGCGTGTTTCAGGGTCTGTCCGTCACAATTTTGACGACTTGATTCGTCATTTAGATTTTCAATTATTCATATAATTTATACTTGGTGTGAATCTGGAACACATACCAATGTACACGAATCACACTATTCAATGGAATAATCGATTCAAAGCAACTCAACTAAACTCTATTTTACCAGGTAAGGCACACTGATGCTATGTGTCTTTTTTTCAGAAGCGACCTGGCCACAAATGATAGCTCAACGAAGTGACTTATCACGTGGAAATTGAAATATTAGCCAAATGCTCTAAAAGCGTTGATGTTGATTATAAATGTGTGTGGGGGGGGGGAACCCGGAGGACCAGGAGAAACATCCACGTGACCACGGAGGCATCAGGGTCGAGATAGAACCCACGAGTTGCTGCATACCAGGCGAGGGAGTCAACATCTCGCCATAAATTATTTGGTGATGGTGCTTGTGCTGCTGCGTTGGAAGTTGTACAAAAGCAGAGCCAACAACAACAACAACTCAACAATGTTCATCAATAACAACACTCCATGGCCATGAAAGTAAACACATATAATAGGCGACGTTTCGGGAAATGGCCCTTCTTCATAGCAAACTGAGAGGCCAGAGAAACAGACTGAAATTATTGACACCAATGAGGCCTGATGGGAATTACATTTTGACATTTGTTTTGGTCGAGCACGTGAAATTTCCACCACACTGACAGTACCAGCAGGGGGACATTGAGACCTCACCTTTGACCTTTGGCATCGCCTCCTGCGGCATGGGGTCTGCTCATTCCACGCGGAATTGGCCAAGAGCATCCCAACGTGGCAGGGCCCCTTGCGTCTTGAAACTCACCGGGACCCGAGCCCCGGGGGAACAATTTCCACGCGGCGTCAGGGGTTGGGCGACCTGCGGTTACGGTGTCGCGTGCGCCTTCTTTCAGGACTTTTTCTTGCGGCTCTTGAGACATTTTTTAGGTTTTTTTCGCTTTTTGTTTACCGAATTCGAAAGAATGCCTCTTCTTGTTATTTTGGTTTCACGGAAGTCCAGTTTACCACGGGAGTCCAGTTTACCTTCGAAGTCCAGTTTACCATGGGAGTCCGGTTTACCATGGAAGTTCAGTTTACCATGTTAGTCCATTTTACCATGAAAGTTCAGTTTACCATGGAAGTTCAGTTTACCATGAAATTCAGTTTACCATGGAAGTTCAGTTTACTATGTTAGTCCATTTTACCATGAGAGTCCAGTTTACCATGGGAGTCCAGTTCACCATGGAAGTCCACTTTACCATGGATGTCCAGTTTATCATGGAAGTTCAATTTACCATATTAGTCCATTTTACGATGGGAGTCCGGTTTACCATGGGAGTCCAGTTTACCATGGAACTCCAGTTTACCATGGAAGTCCAGTTTACCATGGGAGTCCAATTTACGATGGGAGTCCGGTTTACCATGGGAGTCCAGTTCACCATGGAAGTCCAGTTTACCATGGGAGTCCAATTTACCATGGACGTCCAGTTTACCATGGGAGTCCAGTTTACCATGGGAGTCCAGTTTACCATGGAACTCCAGTTCACTATGGAAGTCCAGTTTACCATGGGAGTCCAGTTTACCATGGGAGTCCAGTTTACCATGGGAAGGGGTGGGCAACCTGCGACTCCAGATGTGCATGGCGGCTCTTTAAGGACCGCTTGGTGACAGTTATTTATTGAGGACCATCACCGTCTCGAATTCACCGCCACAGTGCATTGCGGCTCTTGAAATATTGCTGGGTTTATTTTTTTTACCGAAATCTTCAAAAAAATGTGTGCCTCAGCTTGTCATCTTGTTTGTCGACCCCCTCTCCCTTCCCCCACATTGCCACGCGTCGTTCTGATCGACCCCTGTCGTTGCGTGCGTGTCTCTGCCACAGCCATGCCCTCTGAGACGATGCCCTCCTCCGCCGCCGCAGGGTGGCACTGCGTGGCCTGCGTCGTTGCCCTTCTGGCCACGTGCGTCTCAAGCGTCCCGCTCACGTCGCCCCAGGCTCACAAGTACTTCCACCCGCAACAACAACAACAGCAACAGCAACAACAGCTGCTGTCCATCACAGCGGCGCAACCGCTAGCGTACGCCTCGGTCTCCACCACCCACCGGGCCGGCTCCCTCGATGAGCCTTCGGCCAGAAGTTTGTCCGAGGAGGAGCTTCTCAAGACGCTGAGCGCTTTGCAGGCGCTGGAAGAAGAAGGCGAGGTGCTCGCCTACCTTGCCAGCCTCCGCTCCGGGTCGCGGGGCCGCCAGGCGCAGCGCGAGGTCGCCACGTCCGAGGCCATGCTAGAGTCTCTGCTGCTCGAGGCTCTGGCCAGGAGAGACCAGGGTCTGCAGACTCGGCAGGCGGAGGAGGAGAAGCAGCAGCAGCAGCAGCAGCAGGAGGAGGAGGATGATGAGGAGGTGGTGAGGGAGGTGCTGGCAGGCCAGCCACGGAGGATTCCTCGCAACGGCAGAATCTTCTCGCCGCTCTACAGCCAGAAGAGCCGCTCGGACGGGTTCGGTGTTGAGAACGGAGATGCCGATGTCGATGATGGTGGGGAGGAGGACGAGGAGGAGGACATTGGCGGTGCAGCTGCTGCGAAAGTCAACGATGGCTACGGTGACGATGGCGCGGTGGAGGAGGAACTGGAAGAGAATCGAGCGGCGCGCTGGAGATCTGGCGGCGACGACGAGGAGGAGGACGAGGAGGACGAGGAGGGTGAAGCCAACGACGGCGGGGAGGAGGAGCAGGAGGCAGGAGAGGCGCGGGATCTGCTCCAACTTCTGGAGGCGCTTCAAGGTCGCGACACGAGGCAGAGCGAGGGCCGCGGAGGAGCGGGCCAGCAGGCGAGCGAGGCGGCGGGAGAGGAGGACGTGAGGTCTGTGGCCGTGATGGACGCGCGTCACCGCAACGACAAAGCGGTGGGCCAGAGGCCACGCTTGCTGAAGCAGCAGCAGCAGCAGCAGTTGGCTAGGGAAGATGAAGAGGCTTTGGATCAAGCTGCCAACCTGCTGCTGCACTTCGCCCTCCAAGCCGGAGAGAAGGAGAACTCAGCGCCACCTCGGTCCCGTGGTCCCAACGCTGCTCCGGGCTCGAGGTCTCCGTATCCTGGCCAGGCACGAGGGGAGCGGCCTCCGACGGCCAAGGGGCGCCTGGAGGGAAGGCACCGCCCGAGGCCTGCTCACGATGGGGACCAGGATGAGGATGAGGAGCGCACAGCAGAACTGGAGAACCTCGTGAAGCTGCTGCTTCTGCAAGAGGCTGAAGGAGAAGGCCGTGATGGTGGTGCTGTTGACGAGGACGACGATGATGCTGATGATGATGGTGGTGCTGTTGAGAAGCAGCAGCAGCAGCAGAGGCAGAGAGGTGATGGCCAGGGTCGGAGTAAAGCGAACGGCAAGGGCGTTGCGTCGTCAGCTCGCACCGCCTGGCAGGAGACATCTGTGCGAGGACGCCACGGGCCCAAGGATCAAAAGCGCGGCGGGGTAATGGATGCGGAAGGCGACGGTGCAGCGGCGGAGGAGATTGAGGAGGTTGAGGAGGAGCAGGGGGGCTTGGATCGGGCAGCAAAGTCTCGGCACTCAGCGAAGCGGGGGGAGGAGGAGGAGGAGGAGGAGAGAGGTGATGGAGAGGGAGGGAGGTCGGAGGAGGAGGAGGAGGAGCGCGCGGCTGAAGAGGAGAAAAGGGACAACGAAGTCCTCCACGAGCTGCTGCAGTACCTCAAGCTGGACGAGGAGGGTCGACTCGAGGAGAGTCAACCTCCTCCACCTCCTCCACGTCCTCCTCCACATCGGCTCGACGCTCCTCGTTCGGCGGACGACGACGCTCGAATCGTTGAAGAACTTTCCAAGTTCATCATCGACGACGGCGGTGGTGACGACGAGGACGACGACGACGACGACGTGGAAGACACGGTAGAGGTGGAAGACCTAGAGGAGGAGGATGATGGCGACGACGACGATGATGATGCTGATGATGGTGGTGACGATCGCCGCAAGCGAGTCTCGCCCTCATATCGCCAGCAGAAGGGCCACGGCCCCAGCGTGGAGCCGCGTCTGGACCTGGAGGGCCTCCTGGTGGAGCTCCTCCAGGGGGCCGCGCGCGTGAAAGGGGACGGCGTGGGTGAAGTTGCTCGCTACGCGTCGGTGCCACCGGCCTACAGGGAGCGGGCTTCGTAGGGAGCCGAACGTCGCGAACGAATCGATTAATAAAGGCATTTGACATATAACCTCGCAATGGCAACGTGACGATGTTAAAGTTCTGATGGTCGTGGGAGTCTGTGGTTGGGTGGGTGGGGTAAGGGGGGGGCTTTGGTTGCTCCGCTAGAGACTTCTTGTCGCCCACTTGGATAGGAGGGACGTCTCGCTCATCCTCCTATGCAATTGTGAGAACAAAGAGGTCTGTGGATGGGACCCCATTTTTTGTTGTTTTGTATCACTGGCGATGACCCGGTTGCTACACAGATGTCGCCACCAATTCTTATAGTACGCTATATATATACAGTACAGGCATGCACATACAAAGATAAAGACAAAGGCCCCCCCCCCTCCCTCCATATTGTCGTAACAGGCTGTCGGGGCAAGTGTTGTTGGCGAGAACACATCAAGGCATACGTACGTACAAAAAGACAAAGAAGTCCCATATATACGTTCCCATCAGCTAAGTCTCACGCAAAGAAACCGGGCGTACGCACACTTCTCGCGCCTACAGGCTTCAATGCGGACACACACACACACAAACACGCACGCGCGTAACAGCGGGGACATGCAGAATAACCAGCTCGTTCGAGACTAAAGAAACAAACCACATCGCGACCTTTTTGGCTTCGGCATTCCTCCTCGAAGGCACGGGGTGGCGAGCAGCAGTAGACCTCAACATTGGCATTTAGCTCACAAAGACAAAGATCTCCCGTGTAGGCTGAACGTACTGTCGGGGCAAGTGCTGCTAGGGAGCACCCATGAAGGCCGGCACGGCGCACGAGGTGGGTGTGTGGCCAGCAATCACCCCCGACCGCCTTTGTCTCCCCCAGTGGCGATGTTAATCACACTCGGGTCGCCGGGTTCGTAGCGCAGCGCGCTGCCCGCTGCACGACGGCTCCAGGCATCTCACACACCACCCTCTCTCTCTCAAGCCTGTGAGTGGACGACATAACACAAAACACAGTCATAACAGAATGATAAATACCTCTCAAGAGCATTCCGGGTGTCCTTCCATCGAGCCCCCCTCCTCCATCCCCCCCTCCGCCCCCTCCCCGAATTTCGGAGATTAAATCGATAACGGCTCCGGGGAAACAATCGATACAACGACAACGACGTTAAATATTTCACTTGAGATCACAAGGGGAAGCGCTGTCGAATCTGTCCATCACCTGCCGTGGACGTTTGTAGACCACACGCGCACACAAAAAAGACAAAGATCCCCCGTGTAGCCTGTCACAGACTGTAGGGGCAAGTGCTGTTAGCGATATGAAGGCCGGCACGGTACACGAGGGGGTGGGTGGCCAGCACCACGCCCGGCCGACTTTGTCTCCCCAGTGGCGATGTTTACACACCGCTCTAGGTACTCGTTTGAGGCTGAGCTGACCTAGGGGCGGCCCAGGACCGGTTCAGATAATCATTACTGGTGGTGTTGGCCGTGAGCAGGAATCGAACTCGGGTCGCCGGGTTTGTAGAGCAGCGCGCTAACCGCTGCACCACCGCTCCTCACACACACGTACACACGCGTACACACACATACACACGCCTACACACGCGCGCGTGTGTGTAGGCGCGTGTGTGTGTATGTGTGTGTACGTGAGCACAGCACATGAAGGAAGACGCAACTCAAAGCGACAGAACGAGATCTTATTTCTTTGCACTACTCTTAAAAAAAACAATATTCTCGCTTTCCCGCTTTGTTTTCCCGCAGCCCCCCCAAACAAAACCGCAGCGTGCAGCCCTGCAGTGGCATCTCCTGCTGCTGCTGCTGCGTCGTTAGTCACCACCCCTGGTCTATCGACTGCTGCACACACTACACGCACAACAAAGACAAAGATCCCCCGTATAGCCTTCAACACGCTGCTGGGGGCAAGTGCTGTGAGCGAGCGCCTACGAAGGGCGGCACGGCGCGCGCGAAGGGGAGGGGGAGGGAGGGGGGGGGGGCAACAGCACGCCCCGGCCGCCTTTGTCTCCCCACGGCTGATGTTAACACCACACCAGGTAATCATCATTTAAGGCTGAGTAGATCTAGGGGAGAGCCGGGCCCGGTTCAGATATTCGACACTGGTGTTAGCCGTGAGCGGAAATCGAATTCAGGTCCGCCGGGTTCGTAGCGCAGTTCACGAGCAACTACCCTGCCGCTCCCCACAAGACAAAGATCCCCCGTATAGCCTTAACGGACTGTCGGGGCAAGTGCGATTAGCGAGCAGCACCTATGAAGGTGACCGCTCCCCCACAGACATACACACAGACGTACAATAAACACACAAGTGCACTAAACAATACGCAGCTGCGCCTACATACACGGACGCTAACGTACACACGTCAGCTGATCGCATCTCTGCGATGTACCACTCGGTCGCTAGTCTCGAGAGGGGCACCACGGTGGCTAGGAGATGTTAACTACCTCGCCTGGTATACAGGGGGGGGGGGGGGGGGGTCGTGGGTTCGATCCCGACCCTGACGCCTGCTGTATATTTGGAGTCTGCGTGTCACGCGTTAAAAACGAGAAATTTGGCCGCTCGAGGTTCCCACGTGACGATGAGCCACTTCGTTGAGCTGTCGTTTAGAGCCTGACCACTTCTGGAAAAGAGCCACACAGCTTAGTTGGGGGCCTTACCTTGGTAAAATAGATAACAAAAACAAAAAGCGAAACCCACGTGCTCCTCCACTCTCTTTCTGGACCGTGTTTCTCATGTGTAATTGCCCAACAAGCACAAAAGAAAGACAAAGATCCCCCGTGTAGCCTTGACAGACTCTAGGGGCAAGTGCTGTTAGCGAGCACCTATAAAGACCGGCACGGATCCACGACGGGGTGGGTGGCCAACACCACGCCCGGCCGCATTCGTCTCCCCAGTGGCGATGTTTACACACCGCACCAGGTACTCAATTGAGGCTGAGTCGACCTAGATAAGGCCCAGGGCCGGTTCAGATAATCGTCACTGGTGGTGGCCGTGAGCGGGAATCGAACTCGGGCTGCCGGGTTCGTAGCGTAGCACGCTAACCGATATACCACCGCTCCCCACACACAGACACACAGACACACACACACACTCTCACTCACACACACACAGACACTCTCACACACTCACTCTCACAAACACACTATCACTCACATTCTCACACACACTCACACACACACTCGCACACACACTCGCACACACACTCACACACACTCACACACACTCTCACTCACACACACACTCTCACACACTCTCTCACACACACACTCTCACACATTCACACACACAGACACTCTCACACACACTCTCACTCACACACACTCTCACACACACACACTCTCACACACTCACTCACACACACTCTCACTCACATTCTCACACACACTCACACACACATACTCTCACACACACACACACTCTCTCACACACTCACTCACACACACTCTCACACACACTCACACACACTCTCACATTCACACACACTCTCACACACTCACTCACACACACTGTCACTCACATTCTCACACACTCTCACACACACTCTCACTCACATTCTCACACACACTCTCACTCACACTCTCACACTCACTCACACACATTTACAACCACAGACACTCTCACACACTCACTCACATTCTCACACACACTCACACACACACACTCTCACACACACACACTCACACAAACTCTCACTCACACTCTCACACTCACACATTTACAACCACAGACACTCTCACACACTCACTCACATTCTCACACACATTTTCACACACATACTCTCACACACACTCTCACACACACACTCACACACACACTCTCACTCACACACACTCTCTCACACACACACACACTCTCACACGCACACACTCCACGCTTCTTTGCACACTTTTCAGCTTTCGTTCCGTATTGTGTCAGTGGCCGCGTCTCTGCTTCGTTGCACGCTATCGTGGGCGATATGCGACGATTGGAAGCGTCCATCCTCTGGGTGCGTGGGGATCATCTGCCGCTCTTTCGACGTTCCGAAACCGTTCCGTCCGCATGGTTACGAAGCGAGAAGATCCGTGATTATTTTGAGGGTTCCATTTTCCTTTTAAGATACCCGATATTCATTGTGAAAACGGAATGTTATCGTTTAAAAAGTGCCTGTTGTGGTTGTATAAGTATATAATGGTCTGTTAACGTGAACATATATGTGTGTATGTATGCACATGAGACAGTACAGTATACGGAATTGTCCGGATTATAAGACGCACCCCCAACCGTGTGCCGTGTGTGAATAAAGTAACTCAGATGCTGTCTCACAAACACAGAGACAAAGATTCACCCCCCCCTCGCACTCATACACACTCACTCACACACACACTCACACACTCACACACACACTCACACACTCACTCACACACACTCACACACTCACTCTCACACACTCACACACTCACTCACACACACACTCACACACTCACACACACACTCACACACTCACACACACACACTCACACACTCACACACACACACTCACACACTCACTCACACACTCACACACACTCACACACTTACACACTCACACACACTCACACACTTACACACTTACTCACACACACTTACTCACACACACTCACACACACACTCACACACTTACTCACACACTCACACACACACTTACACACTCACTCACACACACATATATACCAACCGGAACATTCCTTGCTTTTAAATACACAGCAGGGGATAGGGGGAGAGTGAGTGCGTCTTATAATCTGGAAAATACGGAACATGTAATTTTGTATTCCACAGTATTTTATGATATCCATCACTGGCACAACGGTGTGTGTGAATGATGGTGATGATGATGATACGTATGTGTGGTGAACGTCTTTCGCACCGTACGCAGCCCACCGTGCTAATCGGAGGCAGGAGTTGCCGGAGGGAAAGTGCACCACGGCAGGGAGACATAGCTCGCCAGGGTCCACGCAGACTTTTGATGACGAACCCCGCTCGCTGGTGCTGCACTCTCAATGGCTCCACATTTGTGACTTTCACAAATTCGCTCGATCCAAAATTGTGCACAGTGTTGCTC